GCATTGTGATCGCCTGGGCTCTCCTTGGAATCACCCATTAGGCTCTGCGTATAGTATTATAGGACTACCTCAGTGTGTATCTCTAAGCTTTTCTAAATTACTTTCAAAAACAAGTTCTGAAGGCTTAGAAATAATAGGATCAATAGTCATGGCAATGACTCCATTTCTTAGTGTCAGTTTTCTGTGTTTACAAGTTTCTCATTGCTGTGCTTTGGCTCTTCCTTCTAGATTCCTTCGTTCCTCAAGGCAGAGAGAGTATGACAGAGCAGAACAGCTCACATCCTGCCTTACAGGTACAATCTCTGACCCCCAAGAAAAGAGAGAAAGAAGGACTTTGACTGAACATGAGTGTGTATATTAAGACTTTAGAAACAATTATAGCATGTGAAAATGAAAACAGCCAAAGTGAAAACATTAGGGCTCAGTAGACTAGGTTATACACTGCTTCATTCAGGAACAAAAAGATTTATAAACATATAAGCCACATGTACCATGCATACATGTGCATTTGTATGTGTTTATGTTTATATAAAAGCCACTCATTATGTATGTGTTCATGTTAATATGGAAAGGACTATGGTGTGTGCACATATTTCTGTGCCCTAGAAAAACACATATAGCTGGGTGGTTGGTGGCACACACCTTTAATCCCAGCACTCGGGAGGCAGAGGCAGGCTGATCTCTGTGAGTTCGAGGCCAGCCTGGTCTACAGAGTGAGTTCCAGGAAAGGCACAAAGCTACACAGAGAAACCCTGTCTCGAAAAACCAAAAAAAACCCAAACAAACAAACAAAAAACCCCACATATAATACCCATATATGTTTGTGTATAAACAGAAAGCATATTATATGTATGTGTGCAAGAAAGACAGGGTATATGTGTACACTTGTGTGCATATTAATAATATATCTGATGTACATGTGTTTCTTTGAATATGTAAATTATGTATATGTGTTCATATAAAAGACACATGACGTGTGTACATGTATGCACATAAATGGGAGACACACAATATTCTCATGCTTATATAAGAAGCCATAGGTGATGGGTATGTGTTTCTATGCATATGAAAATCATACATAAAGTATATAAATTTTTGTATGTTCATACAAACATTTAGAAAGAGCATGCTAAGGGGTTATCACTGATCACTTCCAGGTGACTAGAATTATAGACATTTGATGAAATGTATTGCTCATCAGTGTTTTATGATGTTTCAGCATTGTATATGAAATCTCCTTTATAAGAGGCTACAAAATACAATTTTGTATATAATTTTATAGAAAACTTTAAAAAGCACTCATCATTTTATGGGTTTAGTTCTTCTACAGCAAGGAATATAATTCAGTTTTAAAAGAGAATTAGGCACATCATTGTAAGTCAAATCCATGAAGAGCTGGGACATAGAATTCCTTTTTAATTGAGTCCCATTCTGAAAGGAATCTGATTCAACACAAACAAATGAAAGCATTTGTTTGGTAGTTATTTGACTTAAAAACAAAGAGAGATATACATATGACATAAAAAGAGAAAGAGAGAAAGAGTCTTTGAGTGTCTGGTTATTGATTATTCTTCCACATTCCACAGAGGCCTTGTAACAAGTTTGACAGTTGATAACAAAGATCCAACCACCAAGGGTTTGGCACTTTACAGAGTAAATTTCATTGTTTGGTTAATGTCACTTTTCTGTCCCAGCTGTTCAGCACATCACATATTTGTCAATTTTAGCCCCTGTCTTCATCAGTATTTTGTATCTGTCCCTCTTGCAGAGAAATTTGCCTCACTTTAACAAAGTTTGACTTACTGCCATATGGTACCCATGTGTATCTTCAAGTCAGTTGGGGTAGATTGTAAAACAATATGCTGGCTGACAGGACACACCTTCTGTCATTTAATGTAGTCCAGTGCCATATAGCATACAGGGAAGTTATGAAAATTAGTCATTTCACTGAGTAGAATTGTGATTTCTGGAAAGGAGGGTCACACGTAATTAAACAGAAGAGGAGGCAGGAAGAAGGACTCCGTACATCAGAGCTGGTCATGTAGTGAGATTCTACCTGGTTTTCTTGTGTACTTTTGATAGGTGTCCTAGCAGACACATTCTTCACTATGCTGATGTGACAGCTTTCCATGGCATGCATTTACTGGGGATAGATGGCACTGTGATTGCCCAGGAACATGATGGATGTAAAATGCCAAGCACAGCCTCTGTGACCGGGAACTTACAAGTCTGAGCGAACAAGAGTGTGATTGCTGCAGCTCCACGGAGCCTCTGGGACAGCACGGTGCTATAGAATAGGTTCTGACATCGTTTCATTCCATTTTGCTCTGTGGAAAAAGCTCCCAGTTCGTACTTGCCCTATACCTTGAGGCAGTGAGGCAAGTCATAAGTAACCCTGGTAACAATGACACTAACCACTTAAGCAGGTCAAGACCGAGGCACTGTTTCTGAACCTGCAGGGTGTGAATTACCCACACCTGATGATTTGTTCCATGTGTCAGCCCAACAGGAGAAGCTGTTTTGCTGGCTGCTCCCCCATGGAGACCTCCTGAAGCAGGAGAACTAGCTTTCTGAAGACGACCTTAAAGGAAGTGTCCATTTGTTTCCTGAAGTTACAGTGGTTTTCTTGGAGGATGATTCAGTCTTACTCCTTTTTCTTGGCTGTATTGTGCCTTAAAAATTCTGGTGGAGAATTCATTCTTCAGGGGCAGGATTGGGTCTGTCTTAATCAGTATCAAATCCTGCAAACAGCCAATGCCATAGGTGCTCTGGAAAACAAATCTTTTGTACTATAAAGTATTCAAACCACAGTTAAACAAAATGATTTTCTGTTGTCGTTCCTTGTTTTTTACTTTTATTTTTGCTTTCTCTTTTATTGAGAATTTCACATATGTATGCAATGAAATATGATCATATACATTCCCCCATTTACTCTCCTAAGTCCCCCATATGTCCCTCAACACCTCTCTTCAAAACTTCCTGTCCTCTTCCCCCTTAGTAACCTACTAAGTCCAAACAGTGCTGCATGGGTGTGGGGCCACCCAATGGAGTGTGGGAAACTCCATTGGATGTTTGCATCCAGTGTACCAGTGACCACACCCCCAAAGAAGAGGGAATATGCCTTCCCCAGCAACATCAACTGCCAATAGCTCCTCGGTTATGGGTAGAATCCAGAGATCATCGAACCCATTTGTTGGGGAATTTTGGCTGGCTTGGTCTTGTGCACAAAGCCCTGTGCAGGTAAGCACAGCTGCTGTGAGTTCATGAGTGCAGTAACTATGTCATGTCCAGAAGATAACATTTCACAGAACTCCTCCTTATCCTCCAGCTCTAACAGTCTTTCTGCCTCAATTAACCAGTTAATGGTGTTGGTCAAAGGGTTAGCAAACTCCCAGTACAGAACAGACCCTCATTCATCTCTCTTAATTCCAGCAGTCTACATTAGGGCTTTAGAAAGCTCCTCTCAACAGCCATCCTACATCCTATGTTTATGACACTTACTCTGCTCCTGCCTGGAATATGCTAGCACAGGCATGAGAGGCAATTAAAATAAAGATAAGGAAAGCATTCTTCTCATCATGAAAGCCTGCCTGATGAGGGAATGGGAATATGCACCCCAACTGGAGGCAGCTAAGGCACAGAATAGCACAGTTCATTGAAAATGTGTGATGCAAAACATACTAAAATAAAACCCTTCTTGCTCCTGCAATAGCTTTAATCTGAGGACTTCGAAGTACTTCCTTTATTTTAATAACATTTTCATGCTGAGATTTCTTGTAGTGACAGATCTTTGCCCCTGGTTACTCCACTGGACCTCACTTTCAAATACTCGTTATAAAAGTCCCTGTCATGTTACCAAATTCCTTCCTTATATTTTCAGATTCTCCTTCTTGGCAAATGATACTATTATCCTGAAACCTGGTCTTCATTCTAGACCTCTAGTTCCCTCCCTTCCTCAATGGTTCCACTTCCCAGTTCCATTTTCTCTTAAGTCTATTCTCTTGGTCCTTAGGTAGCTTCCTAAAATGCAAATCTTCGAAAGGTTTTCTATTCTCTTCTGAATCTATTCGAAGAGTATGTAATACATATTCTCCTGGAGGGCAGCTTTATTCTCATGGGAAGTATCGTGTTGGCCACATCTCCTTACTATTTCCTTTCCAGACTACAATAGTGAAAACGTTTCTGAGATTCTCAGAAGCTAAGATTGTAGAGTGTTAACATAGAGACTTCTGGCACAATGTATGTGACAACATATACGTTTATTGCATACCTAAAGGAATCCAGGAGTCTCTCTTTGATTTAAGAGCTTCCCAATCCCAAATTAGGCAGTGTGAAAACTGGTTAGTCTGACTGAGCCTTTACAGAGTTCTCACTCATACAACTGTGTCATGATGATGATGATGATGATGTGATGGTGGTAATGGTAAGGAAGGTATGGTAGTGATGCTTATGGTGTTAATGGTGATGATAATGACAGTGGTAGTGGTGGTGGCAGTGATAACAGTAGTTGTAATGATGATGATGGTAGTGGTAGTGATGGTGGTTATGATGGTGATGATGATGGTAGTGTTACATTGGTTATGGTGGTAGTGGTGGTGTTATAGATGATGGTGATGATCATGGTGGTAGTGGTGGTGATGTTTTTGATGGCAGTGATAGTGGTTATAATGGTGATATTGATGATGAGGGATGATGACAGTAATGAGGAAGATGGTGGTGATGGCGATGGTGATTGTGATGATGGTAATGGTGAACAAGAGCAGTGCACTTTACTGGCATGCTCCTCTCCCACACCAATAGTGATCTAATGTGCTAAGTTCATTATAATAACAAATTCCCTATTCGATCCTAATTGTTAAGGGTGACAAGAAGAAAAAAAAATTCTTTTTACTCCTTGTCATTTTAACAAGAAGACAAAGTTCTGGGTTTCTTACCTTTAAATAACCAAAAAAAAAAAAAAAAAAAAATCACATGAGCCTCTTCTTCCTTCAGATGTCAGAAATGGCGTTAGTCTGACAGCTTTCTCATTACTATGCACTGAGAGCATCTCTAACCAAGCCTGTCAGATCTCAAGCAGTCAGGGGCCTTGAAAACTTGGAGTCCATTCTTCAGTCTTGTGCTGTGGTTTTGAAGGTTTCAGCAAGTGAAGGAGAAGGAAGCCCATGCGGGCGTTCCCTGCTATCAGGACACCCCAGCGGATTCCCTGCCATCGTGTTCTGGAAGAGGACGGCACTGGGCAGTTTTATGTGGCTGTGACAAAATGCCCAAGACAAACAACTGAAAGGAGGAAAGGGTTATTTTTGTTCATGGTTTCAGAAGGTTCAGACCCCGTGGCTTTGGGCTGATGGCAGCGCAGCCTGTAGCTGATAGGGAGTTTAGCAAGGGGCTGTCTGTCTATGGTTGCTAATTTTGGTTGTCAACTTGACTGCACCAGGAATGAACTAAACCATAGCTGCTGGACATTCCTGGGTGGGGGGTTCTTGATCAGATTTCCTGAAGCAGAAAGATCCACCCTAAATCTGGGCAGCACTTCCTGTGGCAGCCCAGATGAAAGGACATGGAAGAAGGACACTGCTTTTTGCCTGGTTGCTCCCACTCCTGCTGACAAGACCATCTGTCCTGTTGCTGTGGTATTCCTTCACTGATTTTATAACAACTCCTTAAGGATCCAAGGTAGCCTGAAGACCAGCAGCTCTCCAGGGATCCTTCGGCTCTTCAGTGCCAGATTGGAGCTGCTGGGACACTCCGCCTCTTTACTGAACAGCTGTTGGATTCTCTGTCTCTCAATTGTGAGACAACAGCCATTGTTGGACCAAATCTGGTAAGCTACTCTAATAAATCACACACACACACACACACACACACACACACACACACACACACACATACACACACACAAACACATACACTTCATTCTCTTGGTTTAGTTCCTATAGATAACTCTGACTCACAGTGGTTGGGAAGCAGAATAAGAAAACAAAACATGACAAATAAACAAAGAATGTGAGGAAGGTTCTGGGACACTAACATCCCCTTTCAGGGTGAGCCCCTAGTCATCTAACGTCCTTCCAATAAGCTCCATCTCTTAAACCTCCCACCATCTCCCAGTGGTGCCATAGACTGGAAAACAAGCCTTCAGCATATGACCTTTCAGGGACACTCCACGTCCAAACTGTTACAAAGGCTATCATCGGAGGGAACTGAAAGAGACAGCTTTGGAGGTGACCCCAGGCCCTTCTTCAGGTGGTTCAGAGACGAGAGGGTACTGTTCCAAAAGCGATGCAGAGGCATCATCGGGATAAAATGAAATTCTGGGGTCAAGTAATTCGGCTTTCCACTCTGGTTCTGTTCAGAAAGAGGGTATACACTTTGAGTCCACACCTGCCAAAGATGATGTGCTGTGATCGATGGAGACTGCCTAGAGGCACAAGCAGAGACAGGTGCCTGTGATAGTTAATACTCATTGCCAACTTGGAAGGATCTAAAATTACCTACAAGACAAATCTCTGAACAATCTGTGTGAGTTTCTAGATTGGGCTAATTGAGGTGAGAAGACCCATCACAAATACGGGTGGTACCTTTCCATGGCCTGGATGTGACAGGGTAGACAGGCGACAGTGAGCTGAGCACCAGCGTACGTCTCCCTCTGCCGTCTGCCTGTGGACAGAATATGACCTCCTATGTCTACTGCCAAGGCTTTCCCCTGTAATTGACTAGACCCTCAAAATCTACGCTAAAATAAACCTCTCTTCCTTAAACTGCTTCCGTCAGGTATTCTATCATAACAATGAGACCTGTCTACCCACTGAGGCTCTGTAAAACAGAGACCAAGTCTCCCAAGCCTTTGTCTTCTGTGGAGAGCCTAAGCGCCACTGGGCCTCACGGAGTAGGGCTACGTCTACCTAAGCAAACGAGAAGCTCTTTTCTGCCACTCTCCCAAGAGGTTCGGGACCCTGTCCTATTCTAGAACTCCAGGCTGTGAGCACTCCTGCCTGCCAAGTGCAGGTAGCCAGTGATGACCTCAGCACTGCCTGGGTTCAGATCAGAATGGAAACGCAGATCAGCCTCCGGCTGTGCAGCTGAGAGAAGCTGTACATCATCCAGAGGCAGCTAAGGCACAGAATAGCACAGTTTATTGAAACTGTGTACTTTTTAAAATCTACATTTTAAGCAGCTGGGCTTGTTTATAGGCTGCCAGTGAATTGTATGGTTTGGAACATGACAGCGAACAAGTGCATGCCATAAATCCCTAATTTGGTACATAAATAAAATGTATCAACCTGTTTTTTAAAAAGAAAAATGCTACCTCTGTTCAATAAATGTTGGATTATTGTTTAAAGAACACTGGTTTGAAAGGAGCCCAAACTATTCCCAGCGTTTCCATATCTCTTGGTCCTGCCTGGGGCAAGGGAGAGTTGCGAGTTTCTGATGGTTTGGGAAAAGGACATTTAAGCCCAAGCAATCCTCTGGAAATGAGGGCCTTTCTCCTCTGGGACGCTTGTAAAGTAAGGGTGAAAGAGAGGAGAAAAACTCCCAAAGAGAAATAGCTGCAAGGGACTCGGGAAGAGAAAAGGGGATGCTGGTGATCCCCGGACTCCAAGAGTCTGGGAAGCTGTGGTGAGGCATGTGGAGCACCTGGAGGTGATGTTCTGCTTTCCAGCAAGACAGAGGACGATTTCAGCTAATGTCCTTTTGTTGTGCTCACCTACAGTTCTTCCTGACGAATGGGCTAGGAACGAATGTCCCATTTTCATTTCTGGGATGGTCCTCGGACTCCAAAGAGGGCAGGCCCCACCTCAAGACTCAGTCTCCTTCAGCAGGTTAGGGAAATAGGAAGAGTTCTTATCTAATCTTTATTGGCTTAAGACAGAGAAAGAAGGAATGCAAAGGCATGTGTCACCTTGGTCAGTTCAGGCCAGAGCCAAAACACTTCTGTTGCATTGTAAGGAGACAGAAGCTGGCTTAAGTGCTCAGTCTTGATCCTCTTGTGACAAAGGAGAAGAATTCCTGTAGAAGCTCAGCTTATATCACTGAGTGTCTGTCACACTTTGACTATGATGGTAACTATATCACAGTCCCCTTAAAGCTCTATTACAGGAGTAGGCTCAGTCCTGGCTACTGGTGACTCCTTGTGGGACTATACTGAGAACTTATAACTGCAGGGCTGAACCCAATAGAAGCGAGGGCTGACTGATTAGTGATATCTGCTAACAGTGCAGGCAGTGGTAGCAATGTTTCTCTATTAGCCTCAGATAATTCAAACCCAAGAATGTTATAGGAGTTAAGTTCTACTGAAAGCTTAAATTTATCAGAAGGGAATAAAGACAAATCTCATATAACTGCGGAGCCTGGCTCACAGAGCCATGGTTGGTGCTGCTGATTGTTCTATCTTTATTCTTTCTTAGTGTATGTCCGGGCTGTTGGTGTCATAGGAGCAATCTGGGCTGGAGATTCAGTGGACTGTCCCACCCCTCTGTTCAGCCCAAATTTTGATGTCTAGAACCAGGTGAAGAGGCTGTTACTTTAGTCAATATTCACTTTAGAAATGTCTAGCACCCTTTAAGAGGGCCAGGTCAATTGATAGAGGAGTAGAGAATTTTCATGCCAGCATACTAACTGAAGATATGGGAGTGAAAGTGACTGCAGGCAGGGGAGCTGAGTCTCCTTGATTTACAGGATAGACCAAAAGTTGTATGAACTGCTCTCTTAAGTGGTGCTATTGAGTGGTAGTGGAGCCTTTAAGAGGTGGTTCCTGGTGGGAGGTCTTAGGTCACTGGGGGTGTGCTCTTTGCTCTGCCCTCTTGCTCCTGGCATGATGTACTGTCACTTGTCTAAGAGCAGTTAGACCTACATATTACAGACAGAAATTTCTTAATTTTAAGCCCAGATAAACCTTTCTGTTTTCTAAGTTGAGTGTTTCAGGTACAGAATGCTGCTGGTTAATATGGTTGTCATGGGTGACTACTTAGATTCCAGAATTCTCATATTGGGTCTTAGTTCAACTCACAGCCAGACCCACATGATTATAAGAGGCTGGGTGAAAAGACCTGGCATGAGAAAAGAGAGTTTGTGAGTCATTCATGCTTGGCAATGCTAACTTCCTTCACAAACATTGTTTTATCTTCGCTATAGTGATATTCTGGGGTGTATGAGTCTGTGTAACAAATGCCACAGACTTGGTCATTAAAAGATATTTATTTTCTCACAACTCAGAGGCTGTAAGGCTGAGATCAAGGTGTGGTAGGGTTGGTTTCTCCTGAAGCCTCTGCCTTAGGCTTGTAAATGGCCATCGTGTACCCACATCCTCATGTGGTCTTCTCTCTGTCTGTGTCCTAATCACCAGTCAGCTTGTCACATTAGGTTAGGGTTCCTCCTAAAAATGTTTTACCATTATTTCCTCTTTGTAAATCCCTGTCTCCAAATACAATCACATTCTGGGTGATCAGGGTCTGGGAATTCAATATGTAAGTTGAGGAGAGAGGTGCATAGTTCAGTCCACAAAAGGCAGGAAGGTATTCCCAGTTAAAAAATATACGTCTTAATACACCAGCCAGCAAAGAGCAGTGGTCATTTAAATGTGAAATGTCTGCTGTTTGAACTACTATGCTCTGCCCATATATGTCCTGGTCTTGTGTGTGTGCCTGTGTGTACACACTTGTTTTGTGTGCGTGTGTGCAAGTACGCAGGTGCATGTGTGTATGTGCATGGGTGGGCACATGCATGCTGTGGTGCACATGTGGAAGTCAGTGTGGGATGACTTATCCCTAACTGGCTTAAGGGTCCCAAACCAGTAAAAAGGATACTTTCTGAGAGCCAACCTGGGTCTGCCTAAGGGCCTTAGCAACAGCAACTGAGACATCATCTGGAGATGACCTGGACCAATGAGAGGTGGCCATGTCACACCAGCAGATGCATATTCATCAGACCTCCCCCCAGGGTGGGGTGTATATAAGGCTTGCCTCTTCCTGAACAAACTGAGCTTGTTGTTTCAACATTCTCCCAGAGTTTGTGCCGTTGACTCTGCACCTACTTGGTCCCCTCCCCCAAAGGGAACAACAGCATAGGACCCTGTTACAGGTCAGTGGTGTCTTTCTTCACCTACCATCTTGCTTGAGACAGGGTCTCTCTTGTTATTCATCACCACATGTGCCAGGCTACCTGGGGTTTTCCTGTCTCGAGCTCCCCATCACATGGTAGGTGTGCTGTGATTACAAAGCCATGTTAATGCCTCCAACTTGATATGGTATATTATTTTGCCAACTGCTGTGATAAAATACCCTGAAATAGCCAGGCGGTAGTGGCGCACGCCTTTAATCCCAGCACTTGGGAGGCAGAGGCAGGTGGATCTCTGTGAGTTCGAGGCCAGCCTGGGCTACCAAGTGAGTCCCAGGAAAGGCGCAAAGCTACACAGAGAAACCCTGTCTCGAAAAACCAAAAAAAAAAAAAAAAAATACCCTGAAATAAGTAACTCAAGGGAACAAAGGGTTTACTTTGGCTCACAGTTCAAGGTTACAGTCTATCTTAGCAGGAAGTCACAGCAGCAGCAACTGGAAGCAGTTGGTGGCAATGCAGTCACAGTCACAAAGCAGAGAGTAATGAGTGTTTGTGTTCAGCTCACTTTTCCTTTTTTATACAGTCCAGGATCCCAGTCCGGGAAACAGTGTTGCTCTTAGTAGTTGGCTCTTTCCACCTTAAATAACCTACCCAAGATAATTCTCTACAGGCATGCCCAGATGCCCTTCTCCTATGTGACTCTAGAACTCATCAAGTTGACAGTTGAGATCAACTCTCACACATCAGCACTGGGAACCCAACCTCACA